GTTCCACTAGCTTCGGTGCAATCTCTCATTTAGCACTTTGTCACCAGTCACTGTAAGAAAACTCAAGCTCGTTCCCCTGGATTTATTTATTTTCATATTCTAAGACACCAACCGCTACAGCTCTTACTACTGAAACCTTTTGTGGTTTTAACAAGGTTAATTAACTTTTTATTTATTTTGCATTGGAAAAAACTACAGTTCCCATGGTCCCTTTGCAACATTGTGGTTCACTTCTATTAGCCAGATTTTGAGTGTGGTTTTCTTTCTAGCAGAGCACAACCCCTTAGCTCCGGTGTGCTGTACTGGTATAAGTTAGTCAAATATGCCAAGGAGCAAATTGAAGACAACATTACAAAGAATATCAAAGCTCATTAAAATGGTGGAAAATACTTTGTACATACTGTATGATGCAGTCCTACAAGTGTCAAAATAAAGCAAAAGAATTGGCAGAATCACAGTTTTGAGGAACTAGATACTGTACTAGGTCCACTTTCCCTCTTCCCTCTTTTTCTGGGTTCTTCTCTTATGTAACAAGTCAGTCAGTTCGTAGGGTCAAACCCATGGGTTTGTCATAACCTCAGCACAACACTTTTCAAACCTAAACTGGGAACACAGCCTCTGACCTGCTCGCCACGCTGTCAGGATCAACACCCTGGACCGCTAAAAGCATGGCTTAGTGGTTCTGACCGCATTGCCACTAAACACAGACAACACTGTCACACTTCTTCATAGTTCATGGTTTTGGTGCCTTATAAAAATACCTTGCAATGACCAGTGACATGTTTAGCTCGTTTCAACTGCAGTTACATCCTTGTGTGGAGGCCTGTGTGTAGTTACTGAGGAATGCCCCAGGCCCAAAAGTGGAATAAATCACAAACTACGCCACAAAGTTTTTTCGCCTTTCCCTTCCCTCCTCCTCTGTTCTGTAGTCTGTCCTCCTTTTCCTGACCTTATCTGTCCTACCTCTCCTACCTCAGTGGTCCTCTTCCCTTGTTTCTCCTCTTTATCTTCCAGCTTTTTGTGACAAAATCTTTTCCTCTTACTTTGACTCAACATTTCTTTCTCCTCCCTGCTCTTGTTTCTCCTCTTCAAAATGTTTTGTGGTATTGGAGCCTGCCACATTTACAAAAGGCAAAGCAACCTGATACTTTTGGAAGCAAGAAAAAAAATTCCTTAGTCTGCATAATTGAAAACAGGATCAAGCCCAACGAGTCATTCTCTGCTTTCAAATTTTTAGAGTTATTTTTGCTCTTTTACCAACTGACAAAATACATTATCCGTGGCGTCCCGTAACTGGATCTGACAGGGGGGTAAACATTTTAGAAAACAGAGTTGTTAACTTTTAAATCCATGGTGTTGTATGTTATTGAGGCATCGGTCACTGTGAGGTGACTTAACCCAAATCATTTTATGGTGCCCACAGAAAGTTATTAACACTCGTCACTCTTTTCCTTACATGTTGGATCCCACGGTGGGAATTTGATCAAAGACCACTTTCTTAAATCATGTAAGCACCAGGCCTCTCTACAAGACAGGACCACAAAATCTGCAAATGCTGTGGGGCCCACCGTGGTTGATATTATACTTTTAGTGGTTCAGATATCTTAAATGTTGCAGTTAATTCACTTATCTGTGGGGATCTGAAATGGAAGTTTAAGACGGCGCGTCAGAAGGACGCTGCTGGTCATTTCAGATGTGGCAGGTGTTTTAATATACTTAACATGATTGTTTTTGAAAGATGGAGCCAGATCACTTGACTTGCAGCTGAGAGAGGCTCATTGACACATTTTACACCATAACTACATCATTTTTATTTATAATGTATTGAAATACCTGATGTGTGCGGTGTATTGTACATGATGCGGCATGAACCTGACATTTTTCAGTCTGTCTGCGTTTGGTGAGGCTGGGGTAATGTCCGCCAACTGGTAAGCTACCAGGTGAGACATTTTTCATGTGGAGGTCCAAAGTCTTAACATTTTTAGGATAGTGCTCTGACCAGCTGTCTCCTGACACCTGCGTTTACCGGCTAGGAGCTATTATCGTTCTGCAGCACTTTGGCAGGGCATCAGCTGAAGGTACACAAATACCTCTGTCTGATAAACGGCCCGTGTATCCAAATGTAAGCTGGAGTCCTTCACCGGTCTGGTTTTATTCAGTTTCAAAGCAGCCTTGATAGTTTTCTTCACTCACATTCTTATATGAACAGTGCGACATTGTGGCATCTGTAGTATTGAAATAGTTGAGGCAGCTCTGAAACGGTTTATTGCCTTTAATGAAATGGATGTAGTTTCACTGCTGGGTAGAGCAGGGTTTCCCACAGCAGTGGCCTGGGCATTTCTTTTTGTGCATTTGCCAAGCGGTTTATAGTGTTCAACAATACTTTGTGGAGTGCATTCATGAAGGACCGTGGGCAATGCTCTGAAGGGTGTTGCTGTTTGTCTGGGAAACCTGCTAGTTAGGTTGCAGGATACACAGACAACTCTACTGCTTGTTCTCTCTCCTGTCCCATCCACCCTCTTTTGGTGCCTTTAGTATTTAGGATATTACTGTGTTCACTGTTTGCTAAACAGAACAGACACCTTGTAAATATAATAGATGTGGGCACCGTTTTTCTTGGTACTCTGCATCCAAGGACAGGACCTCATATCAGATACATTTGTTTGTACGCAAAGCTTTCAAATTGGAATAGTGACCGAAGATTAAACACTCAGGCGCAAGCTTCACCATGTATTTTGTCACTGATTAGGTAAACAAGTGAAATTCATTATTGCTTGTTTTGGATTTTGCTGGTATCAATAGGATGTAGTGCTGCAAAAAGAAGTAATTGCTGATTATCTTCTCAGTTAGTCACTGTCTGTAAAAGTCCAGGGTGATGTCTTCAACTGTTTATTTGTCCAAAATCCAACAATAGTCTCTTCAGAATCAAAAAAAATCCCGACAGCTGAGAAATTAAAGCCATTAAATGTTTATTTTTCCTCTTCCTGGTTCAGTTCTTAAAGATGTCTCTGACATTGTGACCATTCAGTGTGTCAGATTATCTCTTGTTGTAAACAGAAGAAGGCTGATGGTTATTTTAATTGTTTTGCTGAAGTACAGTAGCTGCTGTTGGATTTAAGAACACTGAAGCTAAGACTAAGTCTCAGGTGTCTGTTAACGTCATTGGTTTTATTTCTATGTTGCGCTGCTGGTTTCGTGCCTCAGGTGAGGCTCAGCTGTTGCAGCCGTGCCCATGAAGGTGTTGCTAGCCCCTGGTCAGCATCTCTGTTTACAGCACACAGATTAGAGACGGCGTCGGATCAACATGAGCAGAGGATAAAATAATGAGGGCTGTGCAAGGTGAGATAAAGGTCACCAAAAGCAAGGAGTTTGGACAAATGACAGATGTAACATTGAAGGTAAAAGCCAGATGAACAGGAGGAAGAAGATAGAAGGGGAGAGACAATAGAGAGACAAAGAGACTAGTGTAAAGGGAAATTGATAACAGGAGAGAATCGATGTGTGGAGGCAGGAAAGGGCGAGGTCGAGAGCAACGTACAGGAGCAGAGCTGAGGTATGGGAATGTAGGTGGTGCAGAGAAGAGGTGGAGGGCAGCGAGTCCCAGTAAGGTGCTGATTGAGTGCTGGAACAGGATGGGGAAGTGGAGAAGGAGGCAAGGAGAGCTGTGGGTGGGTCTCTGTGACACATGTACGCACAAACACAATGGAGCACATTATAAAACTAAGGCTCAATGCTGAATGTGAACAGGTGGTGTTTCCACAGAAGTGTTTTTCTTCATTAATCAACCCAGTGCCAGCTTTACATGTGCAGAGCAGTGATGCTGTTCCCTGTTGCTTTAAGTTCCACAGGCATACAAATGAACTGGCCACTTGTCTGGACTCTTTCTCCATGTGGCAGGCCAGTGTTGAGGAGTAAGACTTGTGCCAGAGCTGGAATCCAATAGCTGTGAAATTCTTGGCAGCCATTCTGTGCTGACGGTAGCCTGTGTGTGTGTGTGTGTGTGTGTGTGTGTGTGTGCTTGACGTGTATTTGTACAATTCAGCTATGTGATCAAAAGGGGAAAAGGCTGTGTGTGTGACCGCTGTGTTTAAATGTGCAAACTCAAGCATGTACTTTGTGTTTGTTGTGTGTGTGTGCGTGTGTGTGAGCCAGGCTAACCTGGTGAGTATCATGTTTCACTCTCTCTCTTTTTTCCACTCTCCCATCAATGGGTGAGTAACCGTGCACTGTGGAGAGCAAAGCCAGGGAGGCCTTGTGAGGGATAGCAGCTATTGAACCACCGTACATCCAAACACTGTAAATTCACCTACATTGTTCAGCAGCACTGCAGCCACTCTCTGGGTGCTCAGACCTTAGTGAACATATTACACATTGAATATTTATTTTTCAGCAATCTGTGAAAGGACATTAGGTTAATCATTGTCAAAACAAGCTGCAGTGCCAAGTGCAAAGTACTTGAACATTAGTGTGGTTGAGTCTGTGTTGACATGAGACCAGCCATCACCTCTGTTTCAAAGTCACTGGGTGGTTTTATATGCTCTTATTATAAAGCAGACTAAACAATGAGTATTTCATCAGCATGTGTATCTAAAGCACTGATTAACTAGTTTGTCAGGGTTTTTAACATGTATAGTGATTTCCATGGATTAAGAAGTAGTGTATAAAGCTCAAAGAGCAAATCTCACCAATAGTTTATTAATATTCTACCACTACAGTAGTTTATGATGAAGTTTTAGAATTTTTTTTTTTTCCCCTTGTTGTACTGTTACTTCTCTCCACCTCCATTATGGTCATACCCTTAATCGTCACATAGTAAACCTCAGTAACGTCCCTCAGACCTTGTTAATGTCAGTGTATTTATAAAGCACACTTAAAAACAACAGTTGCAATAGTTATAAAAGGTTGTGGGGATGGCAGAGAGTTCCAAACAATACAGAGTATTACAGTCCTAAACCTTAAGGTTGAAGCTGAGTTGTGTCTCTCGTTCTCTGCCAAATCAGGGCCAGAGGCGATTTCCAGCTACAGCAGCAGTGCCATGTCTGAGGTGGTGGTGCCTGATGCTCTGGCGTCCCCGGCTGTGGGCGGCCTGTATGGGGAGAAGGCCGGGGGCGCCGTGGTGGACTTCAGTTACGTGGGCATCGATGCCATTCTGGAGCAGATGAGAAGGAAGGCCATGAAGCAGGGTTTTGAGCTCAACATTATGGTTGTGGGTGAGTACAGCTCAATTATTATGGGTTTCACCTCTGAACATTTGATAGTTTGATGAATACAAATGCTTATGCACTGTGAGTTTTGCTCATGGCATCACTAGGCTGCATGCATGATAACACACTGTACACTGTATTTGTGTGTTTTTAATCATGAAGAGTTTGTCTCTCATTCTCTGATCATTGTCATCATGTATAGAATATGTTAGTGTATTTATCTCAGAATGAGCACAACCAGCTGTTGTAACGTGTCCTGTTTGTCCCGACTGTGTCTCCTCTGGATGACGTCGGTTTGTGTTTCATCCTCTAACATAAAAGCTTTCTTAAGCCTTAGGGTTGTGACAGAGTTTTGAAGGTAGTGATAAACAAAACAAAACAGAACAAACTCTGTTTCCATGTGGGGGTTTTTTTTTCTGTATTCAAGTGAAATGATATTCGGCCAGTGCAGGAAATGGCTTTTTTTTTTTACTTGATGAAAGGGTTCATATTTTTATGGTCAAGGGGGTGTTACAGAGATTTTGCATGATGACGAACAGTGAAGTGGTGGCCTCAGGACACGTAGAGTCACTTTAACCTGTTTTTATTGGGTGGGATATGGTGCAAAAGAAAAAAGAGGGGTAAGGCTGTCTGCATCTGATTTCTAAGACGCACGTGAACTTGATGGTGTAGAGAAAATATTGTCACTGTTGGGTGATCATTTGATTTTCATTTTGTTCTTCTTCTTCAGCAGTATTATAAAGATTGTTAGCCTGTTTTTCTTAGCTGTTGATTTTGTCTTGTGACCGTTTTAAACGACATCTGCACCCCTATGGCCACATACTGTGGGCGAGCCTCAGGTTTTGGCAGCATGCTGCTGTTGTGATGATGACTAGTGAAAGAATGCTGGACCAAAACACTTGGGGAAGTGCAGCTGTTCACAGAAATGATGGACACTAAAAATGGGGGCATCAGTTCTGCCAAAGCATTATAGCAGATAAAATCCAAGTCTGGCATGTAGTGATTACTACTTAAACTTCTAGCTGAAGTCTAGATTTCATCCAGAGAAATCTGCTGCTGTTGTCTTTCAGTATTTACTGTATGGATCCATCTGCTTCTGTTTGAGAGCGTCTCCGTAAATCAGTGACCTCGACATTGAGGTAGCCTGAAGTTGAACCAGGAATGTTCACTGGCCAGTGGGCCCCCTCCCACTCCTCCTCCTTAATTAACCCATGGTGAGGTTAGCATGGCGTACAGGGGTCTCAGATAGTCCCATCCATAAAAACATTTAGACAGTTGTTAATGTCCCAGAGATGGGCGCCTCACTGGTTCATCACCCTCTTTGATAAAGGTGCCCTCAGTATATCCGATGAGCAGATGGAGAGCGGTATCACACTGTAATGTCATGTTTTACAAGAAGAAAACTGCTAATGTGATGGTCTATTTGGAATGTGTGTATCTGCAAATGGTAAATTATCTAATTAAAGCAAGAATAAAACTTGATCTTATAAAGGGTCCTAATATAAACTCTTGTTTCTTGTTAAATCTGATGGTTTTATACACATTTGGTTTTATTGTATATATCGTTTTATTGAAAAAATTACTGTTACGTACTTTAACTGTTTATAAAAGTGCTTTTTAAATAATGATTACTGAGTTCACTACTTAAATTATTTTATAATGTCTTTGACTTGGTGTCACCCAGAGTATTAAAAAGTTATTATATTAAAGATAGTATTTAGTATTTGACTGTACTGGCTCACATCAGTGTAGAGAGATGAAGTTCTGTTCACTCAATGCACAGAAAACCCTGGACCCAGGCTCTTTTTGGTTGTGTGTTTGGGTTGTAGTCATGTGTCTTTTCTGGCAGTGTTTGTGCAGACAGACGCCTGCAGTTTGTCACTGCTTCAGCCTGACAGCTTGGACTTGTCCTGAGTTTTAAACTGTCATGGAAAACAACCATTGAACCTTGTTTTGGTTTATTATGACACCAGCGTTACTGTGTAGAGACTAGGTACCTACTGTGCAAGCAGGCGCAATGGATTTTTTTTTTGTTTGTTTGTTTGAAGGTGTGTCTGTTCCTCACAGTCTCCCTGTCTGTGTTTTTGCTTATAGGACAGAGTGGCCTGGGAAAGTCTACTCTGATGAACACGCTGTTCAAGTCTAAGGTCAGCCGTAAGTCAGTGCTGGCTACAGCCCAGGAGAAGATCCCCAAAACAATTGAAATAAAGTCAATCAGTCATGGTATGGCACTCTTGAGCCCCCATTTCTTTTGTGTTCCCTCTTTTTGGCTGTTTTACATCTCATACTCTCTTTCTTCTGTCTTTACATGTTTCCCTATGTCAGCCATGGTTGTTATATGCTGCTGTCTAGTTACTCCAAACATTTCCTTTTGCATCTTTAACTTGTTTTTTTTTTAGTTCAGATTTTCTTGTAATTACAGTAGTACTTTTGAAAATGTATTACAAAATATCTCCTCATTTTCTGAATACATTTAAAGTTCACGTGGTATTTTTGCTGTTGCACTATACAGTGTGCCGGCACTGACTGAGCTTGTGTTTCTGTCCAGATATCGAGGAGAAGGGTGTGAGAATGAAGCTGACTGTCATTGACACACCAGGCTTTGGAGACCAGATCAACAATGAAAACTGGTACACTACAGTTCTATCACTGCCTTAACTATGTGAACAGTGAGATTAAATGGTGTCTAACCAAATGTCCCCCCCGCCCCCTCTACTGTCCTGTTGTCTTATTTTACCCTCCCTCTCCCCTTCACTTGGCTTCCTAATTTCATCTTTTATCCGTCCCTCTCCTTTCACCCCTGACGTGGTCTAGCTGGCAGCCCATCATGAAGTTCATTAATGACCAGTATGAGGCATACCTGCAGGAGGAGATCAACATCAACAGGAAGAAAAGGATCCCAGACTCCAGAGTCCACTGCTGCATATACTTCATCCCCCCAACCGGACACTGGTAAGGACACATAAAAGCACAATCAGACATGGTTACAAGTAGATTTGGTGTACCTGAAAAAAAACGACAGAATATAGCTAAGAAAGGCCGAGTATTCTCAAACCTAAAATGACATCAGTGTTGCTTTTTGCTGCTCTTGGGTGAGAATGTTCTTTATTAAGCCGATGGCTAGCTTAGCTTCAAGACAGGAAATAGGGGACAGCTGGCAACGAAATCTACCTACCAGGACCTGTAAAATCCTGGTCGCACCACTAAATTGCAGTCACTGCTCAGAAGAAGCTTGAGCGGACCAAGGTGGGCCCCGCATTGCGAGTTATTGCGGGTTGCTAGGCAACAACAGCATGTGGAGCAAGTCTGCTGTTGCAGCAGAGTCTGGGTTCACTGGCCAGACTCTTCGAGGAGGTTGACACGGTGCTGTCTTAAAGAATGTTGCTGTCTTGGAGCTGGAGTTTGCTCATTCATCTTCAGCTCTGTGCTCATAGCTCAGGTCGTTTCCTTTCAAAATGTCTGGACTAACTATAGTTCTGACCAGGAGGGGAGGGGCCCACAGGGGCGTGACCTCTGTGCAGGTTTTCTAATTACACCTCATTCATAAGATGACCTGATCTGATGCATTTTAACATGTTCCATGCTTTAGCCAATGTAATTGTGAGACTAATTTCCTCATAATATCATGATGTACAGTATATCAAGACAGAACATTACATTTATACACCAGTTCATGCCAGATTTAAACTATTGGTTGCTGCATTTCAAGTGACAGTTGTTACAGTAGAATCTCCAATTAAACTGAAATTAGTAGCAGTATGAATATGCAAAATACATTTCAATATCCAGAACTGTGAAATTCAAATTACAATTATGTTTTTTGGAGTCTTTGTAAAGAGGGAGTGCAGACGTCCATCTCAGTTCATGTGTCTGTGGTTTACAAGCTACCTTCCTCACAGGAAAGGCCAGCAAAATGCCATGTGGAATGTCTTTGAAAAGCACTTCGGCCAAATCCTAATAAGCACCCCAAAACCAGACGGTGCCTCATCTGGTCCTCCAAAGGCATCTTTATCAGTGATTTTTAACTGTATTACTCTAGTTGCTCTCTCACTTGCTCACAGCTCGGTCTTGTCCAGGTTTGACTGCATGTTGTGACGGTGAGAGGTCAGTGTCCGGATGCAGGAGAGGGGAGACTTGGCGCTTCATGCCCAGCACAGTCAGGCCATTTAATAATGAAGGCTGACTTGTCCTTGCTTTACTCAGGAGACAATATAATCTAATAACAACAACTGGAACTTATCACTGGCAGTAACCGGGTGTTGACAGATTGTATAGTGTATTGCTGCAGGCTGTCTTTGTTTATTCGGAAGCTTTTCAATGTGAAGCACAATGGTACATCTCTGCTTTTTCACCCCTCATTAAACACACACATTGTACATGCACATTTCCGTTCAGCACGATGCAACATGTCCCAGCACACCAGTCCACCCTCCAGACACACACTGGAAAGATAGCCTGCTCTCTCCAGGCCCTCGAGCAGACCAGTGTCCCATGTTTCTCTCCCTGGATGTCTTACAGACGCACACATCTGGCTCTGATCGAACTGCAGAAACAGCCCTCCCCCTCCCTCCGCACTCTGTTGGTTCATGCAGAAACAGCCCTCCCCCTCCCTCCGTACTCTGTGGGTCTCCACTGCACTGTTCAGAGAAGCAGAAGAAATTTGGGAGAGGGTGCACACAGTCTCATGTGTCCATTAAGTGATAGATGACGGTGCATTTTATAGCTTTTGCATTTGTGTAACTCTAGACAAGTGCAGTGGCCGGTCTTGGGAAAAATGTTGAAAGCAGCTGAGGATTATCTCGTTTGAACACACACACACACACACACAGAGAGAGACAGTCGATCACAGAGCGCCACTATTAATTTTTGTCTCATGACCTGTCTTTTACTCAGGCTGGTGGGAAATGGCCCCGGTCTCTGTGCCCCATCTAGCATGTTGATCCAACACTGCAGATGTCACATGGCCCAGCCAGCAGCTGCTTTGCCTTAAAACGCGAGAGACCAGGAGTAAATGGGTGCAATCATTTCTGCACTGTCGTCTTCTGAGTGTGCTCTTGCATGAGTGCACAGGACTCCATGTTGACTATGGCTAGTCTTTGTTGTGAGCCAGGCCAGAATCCACTGCTCTGACCACATACAGATGCTTTCATCAAACCGCGGGAAAGGCCAGAGTGTCTCAAACTGACCACAACTCCTTTCTACCTCATCAAGAATGATTAGGTCATAGAGGCAAACTGTAAAATATGTTTTGTTAGTAACATCTGCCCTCTGGTGGAAGACTTTTATGTTACAGTTTTACTTGTGTTTTTACATTTAATGTCTGATTTACCCCGGTGTCCCTCCAGCTCTCTTATGTTTCCTCTTTCCTTCTCAGTCTGCGACCTCTTGATGTAGAATTCATGAGACGCCTCAGTAAAGTGGTCAACATTGTCCCAGTCATTGCCAAGGCTGATACACTCACCCTGGAGGAGAGGGACTTCTTACAAAAGAAGGTAACATCTGTCTTTTGTTTTTTGTTTTTTTTTGTTTTTTTATATAAATTCTGCAATCTTTAATCGTGAAATCCCTCAGTTAATCTACAACCATCCTCTCTCTTCCTTCTTCATTATTGCTTTTTTTCATGTTTGAGATACAGATCTCAGGGTTTCTACTCATTAGGAGTAAGGAGGTTAAACTCCCCCTGGTTTGTGTCTCTGTGTGCATGGCAAACTTGGTGTGTGCACAGGTTTATGGATTGGCATCCCTCTTGTCACTGATTTCTGTTTTGTTTGTATGCAAACAGAGATTAGACCAAAGCCCAAACTTTTGAAGTCAGTTAGTACGCAGATTAGCCCTCTGTAATACAGTGTGTGCACTGTGCAGGTGTACGTACATTTGTTTGATGTTTCCTGAGATTACATCCAGCACATCTGCCTGTTTACTCCTGTGATTAAAGGCCTTAGTTTGTATCATTTCAGAGCTGTTATGTGTTAAAGATTTGTTCTTTCTGTGTATGTTTGAACATGCTCTCGCCAGATCAGGGAAGAGCTGCGAGCCAACGGGATTGATGTGTACCCTCAGAAGGAATTTGATGAGGATGCAGAGGACAGAATGATCAATGAGAAGATCAGGGTGAGGGAATCATCTCAAAGCACTGGCTCTAATACATGTGTAACATTTGTGCCAGGAACTGTTTCAGTCATCCTTATTTAGGCACAAACATGCTTGTCTGTAAGCACTGTCATTCTGAATCTATCCAGTGTCATTCCTAATATACTTGGTTTCAGGCTTCACTGTCTGTTGACCTTTGAGCAGGAGATGATCCCATTTGCTGTGGTGGGCAGTGACCAGGAGTACCAGGTCAATGGCAGGAGGCTGCTGGGGAGGAAGACCAAGTGGGGAACCATTGAAGGTACAACTCTCCCTCCCATTTCAGTCTTCATTTTCCCTTTTTCATTTGTTCTCAGATGCACTTTCCAGAATCTATCAGTATGCACATAACTAACCAGAGAAAGGCCAAAGATAATGTTCTCAGTGAGTCAGCCAATAAAACAATGCTCCATTCAATGGTCTGACTGGTTTCGTGCACCATGCAGCTGTTCTGGCTTGCAGCAGACACTGGGTAAATCCCAATTCCCTTTTTTTATTGCTCCTCACTCCTTAGTTATTGCTCGAACTGGAAGTCATCCCAGTCCTCCATCTTGAAGGACATCCCAAAGCTCTTATTTCTGCTCTGAGCAGCGAGCAGTGACGAGTGAGGATGCACGAGAGCATCCTTCACAGAAGCCTTTTACCGACTGACATGACCATTTATTGGAAACCAGCTGGCAACACTGACTGTGTATAAAAACTGGACCAGCCCACCTAGGTGACCTGATGTCACCTATTGGTTTTCTGAAGAGTGATTTTGAAGCTCAAATCTGGCCATCGCCATATTGGTAGCACTTCACTCCACCTGCACTGTCGAATTTGTTTGTTGTTGTTTTTGGCTTATAGTATACAGTACCTGTTGAGGGTTATCAGTTGGCCAATAGTGTACCACTATAGTGTTGTTAACATCATTCTTATTTGTCTTTCAATATTTAATTATGTTATTCACTCCAGGCAGGAGGTGCCATCCCCCCAGACAAGTGTCTCATAAAGGAACTTTCATTTCCTGCAGACACAGCGGCGCAGACACACACACACACACACACACACACACACGCACGCATCTGGCAGGAATTTTTTTAGTTAGTCTTATCTGTTCAGAAGAATGCAAGTAGATGATGTTGCTAACAGACATCTGCAGCAGACGAGGGCATCAGAGTGTTGAGATGATGTACAGTACCTACCTATGTCTGTGTGTGTGTCTGGGATTTCACACTGAGGTCACTAGCTCCTCCTAGTGGACTGTTCAGGAAACTCACTCACAAAGCTCACAAGTTGTTTGTGTCTGGGTCTTTTTTTGCCAGTTCCATCTACTGCTGCCTGTTGTAACCAACGTTTGATCCTTTCTCTTTCCTTTAGTTGAGAACATAGCTCACTGTGAGTTTGCCTATTTACGAGATCTCCTCATTAGGTGAGTGATTTTGTCTCCATATCAGAATGTCTTTGTTTTAAATTGTCTTTTTGTGCAGCCTGCTGCACATGCATCACTGTGCACAGTGGAGCTAAACCATCCAAGTGACCACATTTGGATGGAGTGGGACATAAAATGTTATTGTAAAGTGTGCAGGCTTATCATTCTCTTCTACTGGGTTTTTATGTTTGTGTATATGTGTTTTTGTTTCAGGACCCATATGCAAAACATTAAGGACATCACCAGCAGCATCCACTATGAAATGTATCGTGTGAGATGCCTCAATGAGAACAACACAGCGGTGGCTCATGCTAACGGTATCCCAGAGCGTCACCTCGTCACTCATGAGATGTAGATGCCAGCTGCCCTGTCACAGCTGACCTCGAGTGGGTGTGTTTCATTTGCTACGAAACTTTCACTGACAACCTTCCCACCACTTCAGCCCTCCACTCCAGCCCCCATCGCACAGGTGGGACAGCAACTTAAAGGCCTGCCAGAGAGACTTTTTCCAGTCATTTTCGGTGGCTGTGAATGGACAGTTCATGTCAGTTAAACACTATTCTGTCACTATCACTGACAAAGAGAGTGAAGAGAACTTTGGTTCTTCATATTGTGCCTACAGCTTGTTTTTTTTGTTTGTTTGTTTTTTTTTTTACCTGCTTCCTGATCTTAACCTTTGTGGTTTTTACTTGTGGTGCCAAAAGTTCGGTAACTGCCAAATAAACAGATGCTCACCATGTTTTAGTCAGAATTGCCTTAGTCAGTGATATGTTAATTGTGTCCACTTTAGAAAAGTAAACATTTGATATTTTTAGCAGTGCTTATAAGAATTCATACCACAACAGAAGCACAGTGTTTTTTGTTTCTGCGCACACGTGACGTGATATTCGTTATTGCACTCCATCATTTGTCATCAATAAAGCATGTTGTTAAAGGGCAGAGCAGCACACACACAGACCAGTCTGTCTGATGTAGCGTCATTTAGCTGTCACCCCCCCCCCCCATACACACACACACATACACAGTTAAAACAAGAACGGTTATCAAATAGCACATCATATGTTAATCTTTTCTCACAAGCCGTGTGTTTTGCTTTAACTGTTATATGTTCATGTCACATTAAATATGAATGTCAGGTCCTTGACATGTCTTTAAATTCCCAGGAATTAACAGAAATATCTTAAGTGTGATTTAAGATGAACAAGTATTTATGCACGAGAGAAAATGTGAATGTTTTGCCATCAGTTGATGTCCATGTATTCATTACGCATACAAACAGACACTCGCACACACACTCACACACACTCACACACATGCCTTTCCTGCCTTGGGGTCCATCATAGTGTCTTACAGTATTTATTGGAGAATGTCTGGTCGTATTTCGGCTGAAACTGGAAAGAGAGCAGGCGTGCTGCTGCCAAGCTGCCTGCTTTGACAGTACAGGAGACATTTCTGTCCTTTTCCCTTGATTATTTCGAACAAATCTAGGTTTTCATTGATCAGCCCACTTTTTTCTTCTGTTTTCTATAACATGCCAAGGATCTTTGTCTGTTTGAACCATATATAATTCTCTAAGCTGTCAGTGTCGTGCTCTGTCCTGTATATTCTTCTGTGTTCTGATACATATTTTCTATTTGTATTATTGATAACAAAATTGCCTTTATCTTATTTTAAAGAAATAAAGACTAAAGTTGTACATTTTTACTTTCTTTGATTTAATTTGTGTATTTTTGGTTTTGCTTCAAAATCTCTCTTTAAAACTTCTGTTTTCAGTATATTTTACAGACCCAGCCTGCAGAGGAGCTTAAGATGAACAAGCGAACTACATGAATTCATCTACTCGTACTTCCTGATTGTATGCACACTTTGGCTGATTTTCTACTACACCAGATTCCCACAGTATTTAATCACAGGTGTAATTCACATAGTGGAGCACTTTAATTGCCATGTCATTAAGATTTTCCTTAATGAGCGTCTGAAATCAATATGTCTGTCTGCTCGGTCAGTGCATGGTTGATTAGCACTAAATACTTGAATGTAGGAGTGCATGTTGTGTTCCTCAGTAAGGGAAGGTGAGCAGACGAGTGCCGAGGTCCAGACAAGGCCTCGGATCAGTGCGAGGATGTGCGGACATCAGCGTCCTGAGATCCTGGAACAGCAGCAGAATGTAGACGTAGTAAGAAAACAGCTGATGCCAAGTGAAATCACCTACAATTGTGTTGATATTGTCTGGTTGGTTACTGTGAGCAATGGTTAATAAGTGTTAAATATTTCCAATATGTTGAACAACATGGGAACAAGACAAAAAGCTTCAAGCCATTTGAGATCACTTAAAGTTAGTGGCATTTCCAACATTACAATTATCACGTTGAAATGCTAAACAAAGTTTTCTCCTCATCTCAGAGTCATCGGTGCACAGTTAAATATGCCAAAGGTTTGGCGAGTGCTCCTGTGGAAGCCCGGCACACTGAAGAAAAATAAACTTTGTCTAAATATGTGAATCTGAGCATGGCTGAACCATTGGTAAAACAAAGCATACCAAGGGCTAATATGAAGTCAGGCTGTCACATTAACAGCCATGTGGTCATGTGACCAGACAGGTCTCCAATCTGCCTTTCAAGTGATAAAAATTAACTAAATGACAGATATTTGAGTGATGCGAGTGTCTGGATAGTTTTTTTTTTCCCCCAGTGCAGAGTACTTCAAAATGGCAACTTGCTGCATCATTGCATAAAATGGCACCTGCTGTGCCCCATCCTCCACAATATTCAGATGGTACATGCCTGCTACATGCCTGGCCCCAACCCTCTAGCAAGCCTGTATCCCTTAACTCATAAGTTGAGACCCCCACATTCTCATACTCCTTTTCATCATCTCCCCCGGGAGCAAACAGCAGAGAAGCAGCTGCATCTCTCTACTCACACTAGCCGTGGTTCATCCCCTCCCTACATGCCACCCAGCAGTCGTTCTGTTGGCAGCCACCCAGCACTTCAGTGCCTGCCTTAATGACATTCATTAAAGAGTTGCATTCGTTCTGGGTACTAATGAAGTCAGGCGACTCAGAGACAAAGAACCTGTGATGGTAGTGCCGAGTTTGTTTACTGGCTGTGTGCACATGTAGACTTGTAGCTGCATTTCACATATTTGTTGTGCAGATTGTGGGGGTATTGTATATGCTTGAATGCATGTAAGAGTTTATCAATTCTTACACATGCTCCATGTTGCACTATGCCAGATGTTTTAATGGTTGGTGGGCACCTTAATAGCCTTTCTGCTCTTGTGCCAGATTGCAGAGCATGTGTAGGGCGTGTCAAATACCTCTGCATAGTATTACTAGTCATTATGGGATGGGCATTAATAGATACGGGCTCACTGGTCAGACCTGGCTCAGTGTGATGGATGGGACCTGTCAGAGCAGTGTAAGCCCTCGACAGGAGGCATTTTGATAAATGTACATCCTGGTTAATGTGTGACTGAATGAATACTCGAGGTGATTTCAGTAGTGTATCAGTACATTTTGACTAGAAGAGTGCTTGGAAGTGAATTGTTATTGTTACATATCTAATGTTTAACTAGAAACTGAGTTTTATTTTTTCATCTTGCATAAACTTCTTGATGGACACTAACATCATCTGTCACTATGCCTCTATGTCCGATTGCCTAGGTTTTGGTCAACAAAAATAAACTTCTTGATGGACACTAACATCAGTGCAGGTGTCTGCTCTCTGTCACTATGCGTCTATGTCAGATTGCCTAGGTTTTGGTCAACAAATACGTTGCATCTCGTTGCCACATCTTGTTAGTGAGAGCGACCAGCTCATCTCCACAGACCCAGTGTGCCACCAATTAATACCTGTTTGTAAAAGAGTCTTATTTACCTTGTACTACTTTTTTTTATTTATTAATTAGGCAAGTTGATTGCAGAATCTGTGGAGGTGTTTGTGACAGTGTGATGCCTTCTGTGTGCGTGTATATATGTATATATATAATTTTTTCGTGTATGTGCATGTCGACCTCGCTTACTCTCTGTCTCACGGCATGTGTTCTTCTTTGCCCCCATTTGCCGTCTCCTTCCCCCATCTGCTGTTTCTCCTTTGTTGGCAGACACCTCACCTTCTCCTCCTCCATCCTCCATCCTTATTTCTCCCCTCGATTTCAGTTTCCTTCCCTGCTCTTGGCTCTCTGCCAGGCACTCAGATATGCAGGGGGAGGGGCTGTCTGCCATATGCAAATGTTCCAACTTTATGCAAATCAGCCCTGTTGTTAATTAAAAGTCAGTAGCAAATTCAATTAGCTGACTGAACAGAAAGAGAGGAAATGGGTTTACACCAAATGAAGTGATGTGGGCTTGAAAGAAAAAAATACCAAAATAGTGTATTTAAAAAAAAACTAAGAAATCATGGTTTGGGGGTTTGGGAGAATGTAAACTGCGTTAGATACAGGGCTCAAATGGGACCTTTATCAAGGGAGTAAACTTTAAAAGCCAGGTCCCACCAGTCACTGTTCATAATATAAGAACAGACAATGGTGTTGTGGTTGACATACACGCTGCTGGAAAGCAGTTGAGACAGACAGAGTGAGAAACATCCAGACAGAGGAGAGAGGTGAGACAGAGAAGAACGTCGTTGGTAGCTCCTGCCTCTGGCTAATTACTGTGAGTAATTAAACGAGTCGCAGATGTATGTCAACGATTATGCTGCTGTTATGGAAATGAATCGGAGTGGTTGTGTGAATGTGTGTGTGCATACTTGTACAGTAACTGTGCATGCTTACGCGTCTAAGTATATAGGTCTGCAATCTGAAGGCTTTGTGATTTTAGGTCTTCATTTTTTCTGCTGCCTTTGTGGACACTTTCATCTAAAGCATTTTAAAGTTTTAGTCATTTTAGCATAGGTAATCCATGTGTGGCACAGGAGTGATGGGTTTAGTGTCATGGTCGACTCACAAAATGGCACGGACAAGAATTAACCAAATTGCTTTTTAATTGAAAGCTTTTTTATACATGTATTAACTGGAACCATAACATATTGTGTTTATATAAGGATAAATGTGCAGTAGATGTGTAAGTTTCAAGGCAACACAGCAAAACACACCAGCTGTCGAGTGCCTCAGAGAGGTTCAGAGGTTTGGTTGGTGCTGTGGAAGCATCACCAACACCCTTCACAAATACAAGTTTAGGCAGAGGAAAGTGACATTTCTGCCAGTGAGACGTATAGAAAGATGAGGATGAGGGGCTAAGACCAACAGACCAGCCAGCAGAGTTGATGGATGGCGATAGGTTTGGGATGAACAGAGCAAAAGAGAAGAAACTTAATGTGAAAGGATAAAAATTAGAGACAGGAAAATGGCTGCAGGACAAGAGGATTTGGAAGTGAAGGATGTGAGATTTAAAAAACAGCATGAATATGAATTTCCTCTCTGATAACAGAAGAAATCCCTTTAGAGAAACTCAATACTTCCCACAATTGTGTTGATGGGTAGTTCCTGCTCCAGCTTGTCCTCCTGAAGACTCCCAGTCGATATGGTGCTCAAGCCCTGGCATCTGTTTTCACACTGACTAATGCTTAATTTTGACCACACATGACGTTTGGTATGCGATGTTATTCCAGATGGCAATGTGGAATTGTGCTAGCACTGAAACATTAGCATTTATTGTACAAAATCATGATTCTGATTGGATCCTGGTGCAAAAACAAAAAGAGCAGCAGAAAACTAGAAGAAAGTGCTGAAGGCATAGGAATTCTGAGGATGCAGTGCAACAAGGACAGCCCTCATCTGTAGTGTGTGTGTTTGTGTATTTCATCTGCATGCAGGACTTA